CTGCTACTGCTACTGCTACTGCTACTGCTACTGCTACTGCTACTGCTACTCCTCCTACTACTACTACTACTACTACTAGTAGGACTACCACTACGACTACTACGACTACCACTACGACGACTACTACTACCACTACGACTACGACTACTACTACGACTACCACTACGACTACCACTACCACCACTACTACTACTACTACTACTACTACTACTACGACTACTACTACTGCTAAATCTGGTCCAAGGTCCCTAAAATTTTGGACATGTTGAACATGTTGCGAAAATCGCGTCAATCACCGCAACATGGGGGGTATTCGGTATAACCCAAGCGCAGAGGTCCTGGGGTGAAACTGTTTGCCATATTCATCCTCCGCTGTAGCCCAGGCTCGTTTAGCCTTGCCGCCAAAGAAAAAACTATTGTCGTCAACAAGGCTGCACGCTGAAGCATGTCCATAGGTGATGCATGACCCAACCAAGCCTTCCCATGATCAGCAGGTCTGGACGCATTGTGTTCATCTATGGCCGCAGCTGCTGCATCAAAATCAACTTCACAGCACGAGGCTATGATTGCACATCGGTTCCTTGTCGTGCTAACTTTCAACTCGTCTCCTCAGAGGCAGTTTCAATGACGTTGTACGTGTGCGCCGTTGAATCTACATAGTTTTACCCCAGCAGTGCCTGTTGGGGCTGTATAGCAACACTTGGAAAATTGGAGCCTTGACTGCAACGTGTCTATACTTTAGGAGGATCCCTGTCAGGAAGCCTGCGCAAGATCTCAGTAAGAAACATATTTTTCTGCAAGGCAGGTCTGCGCGCAATGTCTTGTGACATGGTCTTTCATAAGACCTCTGCGCAAAGTCCGTCATAGGACGCCATTGCAAGATTTCTGTGCGCATGCCCCCACAGTGTCCGCCACAAATCCTCAATTAGACCTTTGGATGAAGATCTTGTTGAATCGAACATCTTGTTGAATCTTTGCGACGAATCGCTGAGACAAAAAATGGATAAGACGTTGCCTGAAATATCTTTTGATCATCCTTGAAGAAAATCTCTCTGGCAAACCTCTATACAAGGACCGTGTGCAAGATCGCTGGAAAAAACAAACTGATAAACCCACGAACCCAAATGAACACATGCACCCCAAACAATGTTTAACGCTCTCGCGCGGTATTCTCAAAAAATGGACAATCTGGGGTGACACTCTTCTACAATCTCTTGTAGAACGGTATTGTGGGACACCCATTACGCATTCGAGAAAAATGAATGATGTCTGCGAAAGACTTCTGCAGGAATGCTAGTAAGTAGACATGAAAGCGCTGCCCTCTGCTATGACACTTGAGAGATTCGGCAACATCCTGTGAACCCTCAGCCACCAAATCAATGCCTAGCTCCTGACACAACAAATTCACATCCATGTCACTCTCGATTGTATACATTACAAGGGAACTGAGGCACGAAACCTGCCTATATTTTCTTTGTCACAAGTCCAACATTGTCAAAACAGAAAAGCCACTTCAGTTGAAGGTTTGTGAACTGTACTTCATGTACATGCTATGCATGATTCGGTGCAAGGAAATCTCACACCCTGCCTTGCGGACATGCGTTCTAGCATTTCCACACTTTCTCTTCTCTACAAGCAAGCTAGGTGGCCAGAAGCTATTCTTGACTGAAACCACCAAAGCTTCAAAAGCTTGTCTCTCACTTCAGTTTCTAAGGCTTTCATCTCTCACTGTCGCGGTCTGCGTCATCAGGCTCTTCATCCTCTTTGTCCATGTCGTCATCGTCCTCGCTGATGACTTCCTCCATGAAAGTCATCCTCCTTCTCAAGTAAGGAGGTTCACTGTCCTGCAGTCCAGCTCTGATGCAGTCTGTAGAGCTGCATATGTTGTCCTCTCAGTTGTCTCAGCTGTTCCAGCTGCGAACGCCAATCCTGCCACGCTGTGCTCTCCAGGGATGATGTGTGCTTCTTCTGGTAGTACCTGGAGCATCGCCTCTTCTATGCCTCGAAGTTCTTCTCCAGCTTCTCGTCCTTCTCCACGTTGATATCGCTCCACTGTATTCACGGATTCTCTTCTTCGTCCTCGAGTTCCTCGGACTACGGCTACAGCTACAGCGGCTGTGACAGCCATGGATCCTGATAGGAACCTCGAACGTCTCGCGCAAAAATGCAGCGTTTGAATGCAGTGCTTTGGAATGATGACACATTGCTTGCTACGTTCTTCCTTCAGCTTACTTGTTGAGAGTCTTCTGAGTCCTTTGAGTTTTCTTATACTCTTTGAGATGTACTGTAACAACATCTCAACGACATCTAGACAACAGTCTCAACGCACTCTCAAGATACTCTCAACAACCCAACAACAACAACGACAACAACCAGAATAAGAACAACAACAACAACCAGAAGAACAACACCAACAAACTCAACCTCAACAAGTCTCCCAAAGGATCCAACATCATGAAGAAACTCAGACCTCAACACTCCCAAACATCACCACAGACTTCCTATTAACGCTGGACAATATAGTGGGCTTGAAGGTGTACTTGAATAATTGAGTATCAGCGTGATGTTTTTCAGAAAGGTTGAGAGAAGTTGAGAGAGTTTGAGCGAATGACGAACTTTTGTGAAACATGTGTGACTCGAAATCTTTTGTTGTTGAATTGTGAAGTTGAATTACAAACTTGTGCCCTGCAGCGTGCTGCAAAACAAGATCGTAGATCTGATTCGTAGAACACGTGTGTTGTAGAACCACTCTCGTAGAAGAGCAGCTACTATGTCGTCGAACAAACAGAATGGCAGCGACAGCGCGGATGCTGAGATGACCAATCAAGATCTTTGGTCGCAGGAAGCAGTTGTTGCTTCGCCTGCAACTCCTCTCAATGCATTGCAGGCTCCTTTGGAGGATGTGAATGACATCAACGTCGAGAACAGTGGTGGGATCTGCGCAAGTTTCTGACTCTCAGAATCCTGAAGATGATGAGTCTGAAGAAGAGGGTGAGTTCTATGCCATGACATTGAGGAGTGATGGCACTTTGGTACGTCATGACGACGGCAACGCTTTCCCCAGCCCGGAGACAATGCTGCTTGCCGAGCGCATCCAGGCCTTGTTGCTTGCTGGCCCTCCAGCCTGCAACATGAACATTGGTGGACCTCCTTCTTCTTTCTCCCAGCCTGCTGATCCTGCACATCCTGGACCCAAGCGGATGCCCAAGTCGAGAGCATCAAAGAAGAAGGACAAGAAGAAGAAGAAGCAGCAAGGCTGATGATGACACTCGCAGCTGGCTTGCTGTTTGACAGTTGGGCGTCCAACCCTCACTTTTTTAAAGGGCCGAACCGATCGGAGCCATTCGCGCGTTGATGGAAAACATGTTGAGTGCATGTGAGTTGTTTGAGAGATTGTGTCACACTTAATTGTTTTCTCTGTGCAGGTCTGCTTGGAGAGTCGTTGAGGGATTTGTAAACTATTGAAGCTGTTGAGAGAGTTGAGAGTTACTGTGGTGGAAATATTTGATTGACATGTTGAATTTCATGTTGAATTTCATTGAAACTTTTGTGAATCTCCAACATTCTATTTTTATGAAAGTAGAAGTTTACCAGAAGTTTCCATGAAACTTCTAGTTTGCAAGTAGAAGTTTAAGTAGAAGTTAAGTAGAAGTTTGACTTGTTGAAAATGACAACCCTTACAGTGAATATGCAATGTTGCTTATAAAGCTTCTAGTAAATTTCTAGTAAACTGCTGTTAAACTTCTAGTAAACTTCTAGTTGTGGAAACTAGAAGTTTCATGGAAACTTCTAGTAAAACTTCTAGTAAACTTCTACTTTTGAACATTCATAAGTTAAGAAATTTTATGTATATTTC